GAATATGAATTTGGAAGAACAATTCCATGAAAAGCATTCCCTTCATTATCAGCAAGAACAACTGGTTGCCTTCATTTCCCCATCAATACCCTTAAAATGATAGCAAACAGGAACCTTGTCGGCTTCTTCTTAAGAGACTGTCCTATTGGTAAGAATGTTGAGCCCTGGGTCCTCCTCCCTAAATTTAACCAACTGATCCGGAACTGATTCTTGCAACTGCTACGTGAGAGGTGGTGGAATAGCCTAGTGGTTAAAGCGTTCGCTTGTCACGCTGAAGATCCGGGTTCGATTCCCCACATGGGGACAATGTGTGAAGCCCATTTCGTGATATTGCTGGAATATTGCTAAAGGCGGCGTAAAACCATACTCACTCACTCACTCACTCGCTCAACTGCTACGTTGTCAGAATATTGAATCCCCTTCCTTGAAAACGTACACAGAGAATGATCCATAGATGTGCCAAGCAATTTGGAACTGGAATCATTCTCAAAAGACATTTGCGAAGCCATAGCCGAGTAACTACATAGGAAGGAAAATACCTGGAATTTATGTTCTTGATGTTCAGTACTTTCCGAAGTGATACGCTCGTATCGGGCTGAGCAAAGCATTTACACGATCAGCCAGTGAGTCTTGATCTTTAGCAGGGAGAGTTTGTACAAAGCCTCCTCAACAAGGTCAGAACCAAATCTTTATATTCACAGAATGGAGCTGGTATACTGGTAAGGCTACAAAACCCATCTAACTAAACCTCAGAGTTAGCTGCTGACTCTCCAGGATGGGACAAAATATGGTCCAAAAATATTCAAAAGCACCAGTATCCCTGACAACAGTAATGAGGTTAACATTGGAACTGTCAACTTGAGTCGACACAAAAAGGCCGCGACCGGACATTAACTAAAGCATTAGGAGAAGAATTTCTTTTTACAATCAGAAACCATATGCTCCAGCTCTCGACAATACCTGCAGACATAATAAACTAATATACATAGCCAATACCTGTTACACGACGGTGTCATATGATTATCAAGAAGCTGGCTAGTTTGTTGGTTTCACGATGCATTCTCCTGCACATAGATTTCTGGGATCTGAAACTTATTATTAAATTTGGAAATTGACATGTAACAAATATTCGGGGCTTGAAAGTTTAAGAGAACATGGCCAGCACGGATATAACCAAGGCAAAGGCACAAAGCCGTTTGCTGTCACTTACATTAAGTACCCTTTGTATATATATATAGTGTCTATATGCCTAGTGCAATAAATGAGCACTATATATTCAGTGTGTGGTCATTTCCTTTGTCGTTTCAAGATTTGACTTTTTCACGTGATCACGTACTCACGTAAGTTCAAATTTTAGTTGTTTTCCATGTTCTTGTTCATGCTGAGCGGAAACTGTTAGATATTTCCTATTAATCTAGTTTTACCTTAAGTGCATGTTTTGAAGTCAGTTGTTGGTTTTCTAGTGATGTAGAAACTCTACGCATCACTCCCATGAGTAGGAGGGGGGCTTGTACCTATAACCAGTCACAATCTTTAGTTTACTAAGTGTTTTGTTCTTCCGTGATCTGTATTGTGAGAGTGGTGGATGTTTACGCTTTATCTAGCACTATCAAAATCAAATCAAAATCATAAATATGAATATGGTTTAAAGTATTTGACCCTCACTCTGCAGACGATGTATGCGAATCTATTTGGTTTTGGCATAACAAGCAAATAGGGTTGGGTATTGCCCAAATTGTCGTATTGCGATATATTGTGATATTTGTTGCCGTATTGCAATATGTATTGCAATATATTGTGAAAGTGTAACACGTGGTTTAAGGTAATGTTTGGAAACTATGCCACTGGCCACTGTCAGGACTCAGTTGTGATTGTACAAGAGATCAATTGAAAATGTTCCCAAATTGAAGACTTCCATCTAATATTTGGAACTCGAGAAAAAGCGTCTGCAGCGGCGTCCGCCATATATTGGTTGGTTTACCCCTACAACGAGTGCCGGTACCATTCTATTTTTATTTTTATATATCGTTTAAAAGTCACGCAAATGCAATTATATGATCAATAAACATTCTCAAAAACATTAATATATAATAATATAAAGGAAATAGAAATGTTATTAGTATTTTTGACTACATCACAAGAATTACCGATCATGGTCACGGAAACTACCGATTGAATCGGGTGAACCGGTTCGCGAAAAGTGTACCGCAATATATCGTATTGTGAAGTTCGAATTGCAATATACCGGTTAACCGGTATTATCGCCCACCCCTACAAGCAAATCACTTCAGCAGCTGTCCTTCCCAAATGTTCCTTTTCAAGCTTGTGAACAGTATCATTCACCAAACTCTGTACACCAGTTTACTTGTATTTACATCAGGTTTACATCTCGAACTTACGAACTTGCTCAAGTGTCGAACAACGGCATTTGCCGAAGGAGACACCATATGAAACTGGGCTTCAGTGTGGGGCAGGACTGAAGAACTTTAAGAAGTCAAGCCTATCGATCAGGAGAGCCAATCATGATATCCTCTCTGTGGCTACTGTTGCTTAAAGTTGCCTGATCTGTGACCTGTCCATTCTCGGTAGGGCCATATTTATCAGGTTCCTAATTTTGTGTTTGCTTAGGACATGGTTATCAATGTAGCCCTCAACCACTCGGTGCAGGCTGGTGAGACATCATACCTGGGTAGCATGGCGGAGACTGAAGCAGTCAACGTAGTGTCAGTGGTACTGTCGTCTGCCAGTCGCCGTGGAGAGTTGAGTCCTTCCGGTGTACCAGGATCCTCTTTTCGAGGATCTGATGCTAGTTTTGGCCTCATGTCGAGTCTTGGATTGCCAGCAGCATGCCTGTGTTCATCTGTAACCTGCATCACTTTCATATTTCCAGTTACAAAACATGAGTGAGTGAGATTAGTTTTACGCCGCACTCAGCAATATTCCAGCTGTATGGGGGCGGTCTGTAAATAATCGAGTCTGGCCAGACAATCCAGTGAATAACAAAATGAGCATCGATCTGCGCAATTGGGATACGATGACATGTGTCAACCATGTCAGCGAGCCTAACCAGCCGATCCCGTGTGTCGCCTCTAACGACAAGCATGGGTTACAGAAGATCAATTCTAACCCGGATCTTCACGGATGTACAAACACTGAGCAACATACCATGCCGCGTCCAGGTGCCACGCTACAACATGGTTCCCCAGTGGTCAGATGACATGCTAGAGGTAGAGTCTTTACGAAACCATGCCATATATTCTAATCTATCGGTACCATAGTACCATTGTTTATAGCCACTGTGTTGAAAGGATACAACCATATGTTCATGGGTAGGTGTGAGTGAGTGTGATTTTGTGCTGCAGTAAGCTTTGCGCACCAGGCTGACATAGCGCCCCTAGATATTTGCCTATTAAGGTGTCAGATGCACTTAAACTGGAGTATCAGATGTGATATTCACTGGCAATTACCTAGGGTATCACATCTTTGCATTATGATAAAATCCCCAGATCCTTTTGCCACCAAATCTTAATTTCGGAAGAGACATCTCAACCTCCCATGTAAATTCCTATTGCACTTATTTCTTCTCGCTCGTCAGTCGCAGTTGACCGGGCGGCTGTTTCGTGCGTTTTTTCAATTTTAAAATGGGCTTAAAACGAAGTTTGGGAAAGGGTGCCTATCACGCAGACTGGACATTGTATACCCTGGACTGATTCTATTGCTGCTATTACTATTAATACAGTTCAAACAGGGCGTCAAGAACTTAAGATATTGCTTCGTTTCCATTGAATGGAACCCGTACCAACTGCGCGATAAGCAAACTGACTGACTGACTGACTGACTGACTGAGTTTGTTTTTTACGCCGCTTTTAGCAATATTCCAGCAACATCACGGCGGGGGACACCAGAAATGGGCTTCACACATAGTACCCATGTGGGGATTCGAACCCGGGTCTTCGGCGTGACGAGCCAACGCTTTAACCATTAGGCTACCTCACCGCCCCGATAAGCAAACACATATACCACCAGACCATCTGATCTACTCCTGACAGTTCTGTTGAAAAACAACTGACGGTCGTCGTCCAGCCTGGGTGGTACACATATTGTATTAGCTATGGTGTGTCAGTTCATTAGGGATGTGCCAATAAATTTCTTTATGGCGACTTTTTCCAATACTGTTACATAATTGATAAATAATATTTATTAGATATGTGACCTGGTCCGAAATTATGTAGATTACATGTTGGAAAAAATCATATATATTTTATCCGTGATGTTTTATGTACTATCCCCATAGTATTTCATAACTTATCGAAAGCAATATGGTAAAAAAGGATACGTCCTGTGATCTTGAAAAGTGTCCGTTGTTGTTAAGACAGAAACTAGGTCATCCATTGTCCCCGGATTAGACAGGAAAACTAACTCTTTTGTTAATCGTAATCCGCTTAACATTACCTGAATCATCTTGTGACAATCTGCTGTCTGTATTATCCCGTTTTGATTGCAATGATTACGTTTAGTTCCTGGGACTGTCTTCATTCTGTCAAAAAGCATGGATGAAAATACAGCCATTATTAAACAATAGATTAAAATTCAACTATTATTTTTACAACTTTTTGAGTAAAATATCGATGCCGCGGTGCACCGCATCAGCAATTCAAAGGGCAATGAAAAGATGTTCAGTTGATTGCTCAACGTGAAACTAATTACACACTTTACGGCAGAATGAATCAAATTAAAAACTATTCAATTTCTTCAAATTTTACATTCGTCAAAAAATTAAACACTGACAAAGCCTGACACATTATCTGTCATGAGAAAGTAGTTCGACCAGCTGCTGCAAACCTAGATAAATCCAACGCGTAGTGATAACAGAACAAGGCAAACGAGATTGGCAAGGGAGACAACTGCCTACAGCAATGACTGATCCGGTACACAGTTCAGCATGCTAATCTTTGCCCCAATTTCTTGGATCAACGTGAATTGTAGCCGTCCGCACTTCCACATACAAAACGCCCACCGAACGCGGTTACGGAAACAATCATCCACGCACAGGACCGTAATGGTTCGAAATGGGTGAACATACATGCTGATGAAAAAGCAGATCGTGGACGAACGCTTTAGAAATGTTTGCAGTTGTTGTTTAGGGAACTATGTTTCCTGACGCAGTCACATCACTATTTACATGCGCGAGGAGGCCGCTTAATCCTCTTAGGATATGTAGCTTTATCTGAGAGGGAGGGTAGCACTGCCTTGTAATGTCTTTATGTGTCTCTCCCAGGACCCAAATACTCAACTTAGACACTTATAATCATGACTATTGGGAAGCTGGAAATTTTGTGGACATGTCAACTTGTGAGTGTGCGTTTCCCGTGATTTGAGCGACCGAAAACGATAATCCATCTCTGCATATTGTGTCTTAGAGGAACTCTTTGTCAAGCGGCCATTATTTCGGCTGCTGGCGTATTTCAGAAAAAACGTCAGCTTCATCGAGATGGACTTTCATGCGGCGATGGAGACTTTTGCTGAGGCGTGGGTCGCTGCTAACACCCAAACGGCGGTAAATTCAGATCCCCAGGTAAGGCATCCAACTTGTTGAAGTTTTGGTTCATGTTTACCTCTTCAGAGGAGCAAGTGACAATGTCATCTTTCAAGCATGCGACAATGTTTATTTTTGGTGAAGTTCGTAAACACTATTTTGTGTGTCTCTCAAACAAGCACAGCACCTGTTTGTATTCTTAGACTTGTTGTATGTTGGAGTTAAACACATTAACAATTTCATATAAACTTATTTTCACTGGCATTTAAATCCCCTTGATTAAGGTATCAGACACACATATTAAAGATAGATCAATTTTGAGATGACCATTTAACTGAATATTTTTAACAGAACAGTAATGAATGAAGTTATGTTGGAGTAGGGTTTGAAAGATTTGAGAAGAACATATAATGTCCATTAATCTCAATTCTGGCTGATCAGTATTGCCACACTTATCCTTCTTATTAATCATCCCATCGATGATCATCGTGTAAATAGATCTAGTAAAACATTATTCCCGCTGCTGAAGCAGGTTTCCATCACATTTTACTTGTAGTGACAAACAGACAATAGTAACAAATATGTTACTATTGACATCTATTGATTGTGCATGTTGGACGTAACATCTCTCTTTGTACAACAGTGTTCGTAATATAATACAATAAATTATTATCTGGGAATTATGACTCGGGAGTATAAGAATATAACATCTACTTTGACAGATCAGTGCAATATTCTCACAGGTCTGTTAGTTAGTGCATGGTCAGACCCTCAACTATCCCATGCAGGTGATAATATGATCTGCCATGTGTCATCTGTTTGTTCTATGGTGTATATTTTCACATCTGCATATAATGTTAATAACGGTATTATCCCATGTTATTGATAATGTATATCTTTAACTATTTGGAGATAACTTCATATAATGTTAATAACAGTATTATCCCATGTTATCAATGATGTATATCTTTATTTATTTGGAGATAACTTCATATAATGTTAATAACGGTATTATCCCATGTTATTAATGATGTATATCTTTAAGTATTTTGAGATAGCAAAAGGAATGTTCATCTTCATCAATCAAAACTTAAAATTGTACCAGGAATTCCCTTTTCTCCCATGCATTCAGATCAAACAGTCGCTTCAGAAAAATGTGTACTCTTCAATTTCTGTTTAATGCTGTGAGCTACTGCCAAGTACAGGCAGATGAAAATTCATGACAACTGATCTGATATTTTCGCAGGGATGACAATGCTTGTCATTGAAAACAACATCTTGTGGTCAGCTTGTCATGAACTGAGAAAACAAATATCTTTTAACTTTGTTGTCCAACTTGTGTTTGAAGAAGAACAGTTGTCACATCTCTTTATTGTGATGTTTTTTATTTGTCACATATCTGACTCATTTGAAGTAAACCATTTAAACTTACTTCTCAGTTATAAAGGCATATATATGTAATATAACAAATATGCTTCTACAGAAGATCACCTGTCTCTAATTTGCTGTCTGTGTTATGCATGCAGGCATTACATGATGGTCACTTGTGTCCTCGGCCACGCTGGCCAGAGCTGTGGTCAGGTGTGAGCTGGGTTAACGACCTGTGTATTAGGACAGTGTGTTACGGCCTGGTTATACTTAATTGCTTTCATGTGCCTGGAAACGTTCTGATGATACTACCTTGTTGATTAGCGTCTTCAGCAAGACCCACTCCACTGAGTCATTTAAAGGAGTCATTGTTACAGGTCAGATGTACTTGTACTCACTGACAGTTGTGGTTAAAGCCAGACAGCATTTCCTTTAAACCTGTGTAGTAAACTTGTCTAGAGCAATATCGGTGCTTGACAATATTTGGACACATTAATTGTTTTGTGAGGGGAATAAATAGAGACAATGATGTATGTAATACGGACAATATATAGACAATGATGTATGTAATACGGACATATCGAATTAATGTCTACTGGGTCCAGTTACTTTTAAATTATTATTTGGTAGGTTGAAACGTTTATATATGTATAAAGCCCTGTACCTCAATTTTTGAAATATTGGCAGATACTCAGTAATAGGAAGATCTGTTCATATGTGCCTTTTTCACCACAGTGAGTACAAATATTTAAAACGGAGTGTGTACCTTAAATTAGGGACACACAAGAAATGACAACTTCATTGTTTTCAGCTTAATATCAGCATAACAATTGTTATAAACCTCTATAGTATAGTAAATAGATGTGACTTAATAGTTAAAGTGTTTCCTCGTCATGCTGGAAGTCTCTGTTATCCCGTGACTTGTTATTTCTGGAATACTGCTTTAAGGATCACATATACTGTAGGGGGTACAAATACATAAATCATTTATTGGCATCGTTATCAATGAAACCCTGTCATTAAAACTACTCATTTCGACATTTAATTAACTTAATTAGACCTTTTTGAAAACAGTGTACCATTCTCTCCCGCGAATGAAATTTCAATCAGAGGGGCGCGTCTCCGTGACGTAATGTGAAGTATATTATTATTATTATAGGATATTTATATAGCGCACATATCCACGCAACTAGTGCTTGCTCAAGGCGCTGGTATTTTTTTTCCCTCGATCATTGGATGTCAATCTCAACGGCACATCTTATTATCAATCTCAACTCCCTGTGGAGTATACAACTCTTGCAGCCACAAGGCGCAACCGAGTTATTGTGGCTCACTCACAGCTATGAGGGGAGATGTAGAATTCAGGTACATTTCCGAGGGAGATTATCTTGTTTACAGGTCTGTCTAAACCTGAAATTGTGACAATTGTTGTGAAAAATGAAGGTTTATGTTTTCACAATCTACTGTTATTTAATCTTGTCATCTGCTTTGCCTAGCTTCCAAGTTACAAATTGTTTTCATAGACAATAGGAAGTAGGACATTAGGAAGGGTGGATGTCCATCAGATGCCGTTATTTGAAAATATCCCCGGTACTTCTTCTCTGATTGTAATAAAGTATCCCAACAATGTATGATTTTTCAGATTTTCTAATGCTTGGATGGTATAATGACTGATTAAAATTTGATCCTATTTCTATATTTTTACCTCGATATTGAATCATGTTATGTAAACATATGATGTCTATTTCCTGCTAAGATATTAAAAACACACATTTGATGTATTTAAACCCGTAACTAAACAACCGCACTTTGCCATTGTTAGAAAAGTACACAGTAAATGCTTATATGCATTTCTTATCCAATAATGAAGTTCAATTCGTACCCCCAAGTCAAAACAGTGTCAAAACAGTGTCGGCCCATGATGTTTTTTTCAAGCAATGAAACTTGCATTGCAATACAGCGATTACTCTCTTGCTGTTAAACCTTGTTTGGTGGTAAACCTACACATATTATTTGTCATCATTCACTTGATAGTCAGTTAATGAATTTATAACAGGTATAATTAGTGATAACACCACTCAGATTACCAGACAAAGGTTCCCATTTGGCATTTCTCCTGTCTGGAGTAAATACTCAACATGATGAATTAAGGTCTGATGTGGCAAGTGGATTACATCTTATGTAATATGCACATTGAAGTGCAGCAGAGGAATTATCAGCTGAGTTACAAAAACAAACATCGATCAGAGGATTAACCGATAACAAGCTGATTGATTAATTGCTTTTACCTTGCACAGCGGATTTGTTAAAAGGTAGTGTTTATGTATGTGGATTTACTAATCTATACTGAATACACCCTGTTGTAAAGTGTCTGTGTAGAAACAACATCCTTCTTTCAAAGGATTAACCGCCAATACATTGATTGATTGCTCATTATTGGCTAACTAAATTACTTTTTTAAAGAATGGCGGACATCATGCAATTAGTTACCAGTTGTGCTGTCTTGGGTGACCAATGGGACTATACACCAATGTGAAAAACATGAAACAATAGATCACTTTTTGGTATATTATACTGTTAAAAGACACATGACATGAAACAGGATTCTTTGTCAGCTGCAGATGAATGTCATATCGTTCCTTTATGTGGATATTGATGGATATTGTCACCTCGCACCCACCTCACTTCCGTGGAAGAAATCATTATGTTACAAGTTGTGTCATGCAAAATCCTTTTGGTCATGTTCAAATACATATTTAACTACGAGTAGAAAGTACTTTTGATTTTCCAACTTGATGAAAACAAACTATAATCTCATTGATTCTCAAACAGACTTTAGCCAGTGATGTCATGATTTTTTAAAATGGCGGATCCCTGTCACGAACATCTGCCAGTCTGAGAATAAATGCTATTTAGGTTTGTTTTCACCAAGTTACAAAATCAAAACTACTTTCTACTGGTAGTAAAATATGTATCTAACTGATGACCAATAGGATTTTGCATGACATACGTCATAACATAACAATTTCTCTCGTGGAAGCGAGGTGGGTGTCAGTATAATACTACTTACAATATTATTGTGACTTTGACCACAACCTCGCTTCCGAGGAAGAAATCGTTATGTTATAAGCTGTGTCATGCAAATTCCTTTTGGTCATTAATCATTTACATATTTTGCTACAACTAGTACGTAGTTTTGATTTTTGTAACTTCCGTGAAGCGATCTGAACACAAGTAAGATATCGTTCCTGGCTTCCACAGCGCTTGCGTTGCACAACGCTCGCTTCGCACTCAAACATAACCCATTTAGCACGAACTGCAGGGTCCAGTGGAAATCTGTACATGGTGACACCATCAACCGACCCCTGGGAGTAATTGGCGGCAACGCAACAATTTGGCATGTCTTCATTGACGTCGGGAGAGCAGCAAAATGACGAGCTTGTCACACACTTTATATACAACTAACTGAAAATTCTTCCTCACATAACGTCACTTCCGGTGCTCTGGCGACAGAGTTACGTTACCTCTCTGTGGTTTCGTTGGCGGGCGAGAGTGAAGCAGACGACTTTTTGGCAACTTTTAATCGATCTGTATTAATTAACCAAAAGTTTTTTAAGAATGAATTTGGTGTTCCGCTCAAGACTAACCACACGTCTTTCATATGTAATGGT